TGTGTTGAACTCCTGCCCATCCAGAAATTAATTTCTCTTTCTTGTTCTTGAGAAAAATATTACCTTCTTGCTATTGCAGAAAGATACATACACAAGTACAGCTCATAAACTGCCACGACCCAAATCTGAAAACTGGCATTTAAAATGTGGACAGAACAGTAGTAGAAACAGGAAATGAGCTGAGGTCATTTCAGTATCATACATCTAGACTTGGAAGAATTATATATTTTTAAAAATAATTTTGATGGCTAATATTGATTTTTTAAGCATTTTTTCCAATTTGTATCAATTTAAATCTTCAGTTGTGCAAAATTATGGGATTTAAACATTTTTTTATTATTATCAATTTCCATTTTCACAGCTGTAGGAAAGTTGGGGGGAATCAGAAAGTAATTGTTTAAGACAGTAGACATTGAGATTTAAAAGGTTAAAGCTTTGTAACTGTTAAAAACCAACTGTCAGAATCACATGTGAAAATACACAATATAAATATCCGTAAATCAAATTCTAATAAGTTCTCAGGCAGCATTTTTCTTCCTTTGCCTATTTGTACATTTCAGTTGTTATCTATGGAAATATTTTTGCGTGTGTGTGTGTGTGTGTGTGTGTGTGTGTGTGTGTGTGTGTGTGTGTGTGTGTGCGCGCGCACGCGCAGAGAAATTGACATTCCCTGATAAAAGTTGAATCCTTCCAAGCCTACATACATTCTGCGATGTTCCTTGAGCCTCATGCACGAGTGACATGGTGGAATTGTCCCTGTGATCTTGTGTGCACATGTGCATGGAAAGCGTATGTGTGTGCATGTGTATGTTTAAATAGTGGGCAATGCATATGTTTGTGTGTGTATGGAATCAAAAGGAGATGACTGTATTGATGTTGATGCCTTTGCTAACTAGAAGCATAGACAGATAAACAGATCTATTTTCTTTCTGTCCAGACAGCCAAAACTCCCATTCAGGTTTCATCATATCCCATCTTCGCTATTGTGGCCTCCCTAAGACCCATATCACAGTACAAATTGCAGCTGTTAAGATCATCTTCTTTGTTTTGACCAAGTCCCTTTGAATCTCCTCACTGGCTCCCTTGGTTTCATGGCATCAAGTTTAACCTTCTTGTCCTCACCTTCAAGGCCTTTCAGAGCTCTACTCACCAAATGTATCTGCTCTTGTCTCTTCTTGCATGACTCTTCCTCCATTCCAGCATGTTCGTCAGCTTCTCGCACACATCTCTGTGCCTTCTTCCTGGCTGCCCTCTATGCCCAGAACATCCTTCCTGAACTGATCCTCTTTCAAATCTTTCAAAACCTCTCTCTGCTGTGATGCCTGTAAGAAGTTAGCTTGAGGGACAAATGGGGATAACTGGCATTTACCTTATATATTTAAAATTATCAAGAGAAAAAATAACAAATGTCTATATGTATATTATAAATTGTGTATGTTTCATCATATCTCCCTATCCAAGTATGATACTTGTCTTCTTAGATTGTAAGCTCTTCAGGGCAGACACAGTGGTCTTCATGGGATTCCAATCCTGATTGGAGTCTCTGGGTGCCACTGTAATATAAATATTCAGGGGTGCTGGAACAATTTTTATAGTGAGGGTGCTGAGAGCCATTGAACCAAACTGTAAACTCTATGTATAATGGAAACCACTTCAACCAGGGGCTGTGGCAGCGCCCCTCAGTACCCAAGTTCCAGCACCTATGTAAGTGTTAGTTTTAAACAGTAATAATAACAGTAACTTTTCAGCCATCAGATGGCAGCATTGCACAATTTTGCAGATCTAGAGCAGAGAGGTCAGTAGCACTCAGATACACCCATATATGGTCTATTTATCAGACAACCTGTTTTTCCAGCTCTTCCAAATAAATGTGACTCAAGCCAAACAACTTCCCAACTGCTCAAATCCCTTCAAGAGCAGCTATTAAAAATCCTGTAGAGCTTTAAGTGCTTCTCAGTCCTCCTGAGCTGTTTGCAGATCATGATCAACAGTAACAGCACTGGCAATAGGGGACACAAAGCTCCTTATTTAGAAATGAGTTGAGGGAGTTGTTCTGAGACATCTCAAGTGCCCTTGAAAGTCCAGTTCCCTCCTCCTGTGATATGTATCCGTACTCCTTGGTACAAGATCAATATTCACTTTCAGTGAGAGACCAGTGCAGATATTCTTACTTATGCAAAGAATCAATTACAGAATTTACATGGGAATGAGTTTTGGGTTGACTTTAACTTTGGGTATTTCTTACTGATTCTAAAGTATGTGGATTAGTCCAGAATGTGATCAGTGTTGGTTAAGATCAGTTTTATTTTCATTGCAGGGAGAGATGGGACCAAAGCAAAACTCAGATCCAAATACCCTGAAGCACAAGAAAGTTTGGAGGTGAACTTTGCAGTTCAGGATCATTGCTAACTGCAAGCTTCATCCCCTACTTGGACTTCTCATTCCTCTTGGTTTCCTGCTTTGCAGCCACCTTATAGATAACAAGGGGAGACCAAATGAATTTAGGCAAGTCTCAGAGTTATCACATAGTCACAGCCAATACTTAGGGCTTGTTGACAGAGTGTTCTTCTACCACAATAACTAAACCAATATACAACTCCTAGTGTGATTGCAGATATATCAGGGGAATAAGCTTTACCGGTATAAGCACCTTTATACTGGTATAATTGCATACACACTAGGGGTTGTACCACTTTAACCATATCAGTATAAAGTCACAGTCCTAATCAAAGTGGTTAAATCGATACATAAACTGTGTGTAGACAAGGCCTTAAATTAGGCTCCTTATCATTCATAAGCATGTGGTTAGCAACCCCACCAGCTGAGCTGAAAGGGAGCTTCTGTGGCTGATCCAGTTAGCAAGAGACATGCCATGTTGGCATCTAATGTATGCTGCTCTTATAATTTGGCTGCATTTCTCTAGGTACTTTCTCAACAGGGCTGGAGGCCTAAATCTTCTCCCAAATTTAGTCTTGCGCGATGGAGCCCATCCTGACAGTGAGTAATAATGAGTCACAAGGAATTCTCAGTTTCATGCTCTTGCAAAAGAATAATGCAGAGAATGGATCGAGAGGACAAAGAAGGAAAGAACATTTAAAAAGGCAGAAAGAAACAGCAGACCCAGAATATATCTGGCTGACACAAAGCAGCTGGTTAAAGAACTCCCGGCAGAAATTTGCAAGGCATCTCCAGGAATTAGTGCTACACACTTTACAATCCAAAAAGACTCGTAGCTGAACCAAGGTTACGAGGTAAATCAAATCATGTCAGACCTACCAAAGAAGGATGATAAAACAGAGGTTGTGTATGCACAAAAGCACAAGACAGCTCCACTCCATTCTTAATTCACCCCTATTGTGCTTCTGGGCCTGAGATACTGCAGCAAGAATCTCAGAATAGCAGGGGGACCTTAGGTGCCACATGTTACTCTGAATTTATTTTTCTATACAATGAAGTCAAGCACTTAACATTAATGTACCAAAGGTTTTCGGATTTGATTTGCGATCTGATAAGTTGTCAGCAGAGCTTGGATACAATCCACTTTGGGCAATACTCAGAGCTGATGTAAAAGGTGATGTGAATTACAGGTCATGTGTGTACTGGTTAGAAAGATGGTGTAATTGACACACTGAAGATCAAGAAGGGGGTATGTAGCAGGAAAATTGACTAAGAGGATGGGTACAAAAATCAGATCTATGAATACTCCATTTAAGCATAATGTAACATTACTGCTGCTTTCCTCAATGTGACCCCAAAGCATTAATTATTATTTATAATGCACCTAAGTCAGGTACCTGCTCCAAAGAGGTTCTAGAGGAGATCCATCCACTTATAAAAAGGGCCAAATGTAAGCTGTTGCAACTCCTTTGACTTCAGTGGGAGTGGACCCATTTACACCTGGTCTGACTTTTAGGCCCTTTATATCTTCAAAGTATTCTTCACCTAGGGTCCTCTCAGCCACTTTACAAAGAGCCAACCAACCAGCAATATTTAGCAGATTGGTTTGTGAAATGGACAAAAAGAAGCTGTGCACGTGCAGCCAACTTCTCAGAAGTGGCCACTGATTTTGGATACCTCTGGTTTTGGGTGCCCAAGTGTTGCAATGCCAGCTTTCATGACATTGGTTTTTCTTCTAAAGCCCCAGCACCCAGAGTCACGTGATTAATTGAAGATCTCAGCTTACATTTAAAAAATTGTCTCTATCCTTCATGTCTGCAGAGCCAACTTGAAAATATTAACCTTAGAGGCTCAAAAAACAGATGCCAAACAAAAAAGAACTCAAAATTTAGACTTTTTAAAATCTCATCATTTTTAAGCCAAGCTCGTGATTTTTCTGGGGCTTGACTCATGATTTTTGAATACTCAGCATGAGGAATACTGCCAGCTAGAGACATTGTGGGCCCAATTTTCCAGTGCTGAGTGCTGAGTACCAATTGAGAAGCTCCCCCTAACTGCACTGAATGCTGCAACAGATGCTGAAGATCTCTGAAAATCAGGCTCCAGCTGTCACCAAAAACGGAAGCACCCATAATCAGATGGCCCCCTCTGAGAGTGACTGATTTCTAAGACTACTAGCCCAGGACCATGGCTCTGCTTTCCCCCAAACAAGGCTGGCTGCCAGAAACAGGCTGCAAAGCCCCACGTGCCCCTGCCTGGCCCCATTCCCACAAAGTTGGCCACGTCAAGTGACAGAGACCCCTTGTGATTTTGAAAGGCCACTGGCCCTTTAAGGCTGAAGGGGGGGGGACAGGTGAGGGAGGACGGGCGAGCATGCACCCTTTCCTTTTCACCCTTCCGCCTGGTTTCCGAATAGGGTTGTGCGCATGTGCACTTGCGGAAACTGACGCTGCGTGAAGAGCCGAGCTGCTCACTGAATTTGAGTCAACGCCGTCTACGCATGCGCGCTAGCTCAACGTCCTCGCCTGCCCTCTTAGCTTGCACTTGCGCGTTTTGTGTCCTGTCGAACATGCGCAGTAGCTGCCCCGCCCCGTTCCCAGAGTGCCCTGCGCGGTGAAGAAGCGGCGGCCGCAGAGTGGAGGCATTTTGTGTCCGTGATAGCAGCCGCGCGATATACAAGATGGCGGCGGCTGCTGAGTGAAGTACCAGCGGTGGCGGCCGGGATCCGGCGGTGCCAGCTGCGCTCGGACCCCCAGAGCCTCCCGGTGCCACTCCCGTATCTCTGGAGCGGGCAGAGAGTGTAGTGGCGCCCGGCCGGGGAGTAGGGCAGAGCCGCGGAGGAGGACGCCCGCCGCAGGGGCCCGGCCTAAGCTGAGCGGCGGGGACCAGATTCCTCCTCCGCTGCCGCCTCCTCCCAGGCGGCGTAGAGCCTCCCCAGGCCCGTTGTTCCAGCGTAGGGCCCCCACCTCACTTCCCCTCAGCGCCGGGAGGGCCGCGAGCCGCCCCTCACCATGGCGAGCAGCAGCGGCTCCAAGGCCGAGTTCATCGTCGGGGGTAAATACAAGCTGGTGCGGAAGATCGGGTCGGGCTCGTTCGGGGACATCTATCTGGCCATCAACATCACCAACGGGGAGGTAAGGGCGCCACATAGCCCCGCAGGGAGCCCCGGGACTCATCCCTTGAGGGAGTCCCCGCCCCAGTGACCCTCCTCGAGCCGGGGTCTTGTCAGCACAGGGAGCCCAGGCCCCTGTGGTTGGCTTCACCAAGAGATTGGGCGACCCGCGTACCCGCTGCGGTGGTTAGGCCGCTACCAGAGAGAGAGGCTGGCCGGCCCTTCACAGGAGAAATTTACCGGATGATAGCACATCGATTCGGGGGATCTCCACTTACCCTGGGGATGGGTGGTAGAGTTAGGAACCTCCCCCCGAAAAAAAAATGGGGGTATGTACCTTGCCATCAGCAGCGCAGGGGGCCATCTTCCCTTCCCCCAGTCATCTTTTCTGCTTGGAGGGGGCACACACTTACCTGGCACTCAACATATGGTGAGACACACAGAAGGACACCCCCCTCACACACCCCACTCTTCGGTTTTCTTCTTTTTTCTCTCTCCATCCCACATTTTTCTCAGCCACGAAGAAACAATTCCCATCTCGATTAGTCGTATGGATCTGAAGACTAAACATTTCTAGTCCAATTTCCCTTTCAGGATGGATATTTATGCACAGATCAGCACCGTGTGGATTTTATTTGCAGAGCCTGCTGCTTCTCCATATTATGGATATTGAGCTAGTGTTGTGAGCACTAGAAAATTTTCCCATATTCCCAAAATTTACTGCAGCAGAGCTCTGAGTGGGAGTGGAGTGCTGTGTCCTCCTAAACCCCTGTACTTGGTGGATGCTCTGATCCCTGTTCCCTCTCACTGCAGGAAGTGGCTGTGAAGTTGGAGTCTCAGAAGGCCAGGCATCCCCAGTTGCTGTACGAGAGCAAATTGTACAAGATTCTGCAAGGGGGAGTTGGCATCCCACACATAAGGTAAGAGTCAAACAAGCTGTGGGACACCAGTATGGGCTCTTGTCCAGTGCGTCAGTTTGTGATGGGGCTCCATGGTTACAGAAGCGGTGAGTGTTTTTACTCAGGATTGATTTAGGAGGTGGAAAAGTGTGTATCCGGTAGAATTAGCAGGATCTCTCCAACCCAGCCTTCCCCATTCCCCCTTACTGCCCTGTAGATTTCAGCCCTTTATGCAGCAATCCCTGAGAAGGGGGAATTCCTGAAGGATTTGTGTTTGGGAGTGTAGGCTGGCTTCCGGGGAGGCAGCATTGGAAATGGCTGCTCTCTTTTGTTGTGTTTTTGTTCCAACATGTCTTCCTTCTCTGCTTAGAAAATGGCGGATGGACGTGACTAACCCTTCCCCCATCTTCTGTTGGGACACGGGACATGCTCTGGCATGTACCTCTCCCTTCCATCACATTTGTGTGTCTGGAAGGCTCAGGCCTGCAGAGAACCTCCAGGGGGAATGAAATGGCAGCCCCTTTCTGTTGCCCACAACAGATGCGTCACTGAGCCCTCTAGAGATACAGTGCCAAGATTATTCCTCCCCCTTCCATTTGCTTGTTATGCGGTCTCGGTGTTTCATGCTAGTTGTGAAAACATGTTTTAATACATCAGGGGAGGCTTAGTCAGAACTATTTTTAAATTTTCTTAGTAGTGAAGCATACTTGAGAATTGGATTAATTTACTAAGACTGGTAGGTCAGCCAGGTGAGCAAGAATAAAGCAAAAGCTGGTGGGTTCCCCTTACTTCAGTATAGAGATGAATGGAAATGTAACTATCTTTATACAAAAACTTTTTATAAAAAGTTGTCACTTTTCAAGAGCCTTCATTAGAAGCTTATTGCATTTAAAATTCTGTGAATTGTGTTTAACATCTGTTGTGTGGTGAGTGTGAAGAAAATCAAAGCTATGTTGTTGGAGTCAGTGGCTACATAAACAAAACTTAGGGGATTGCAAAGGATAGGGTATTAGTAATAGTTAGGATTGGAAGGATTAGATTTTTATGGTAAATCTTGATAAACATCAATTTCACAGTGTACACACAAACCAAGGAAAAAATATTTCCATCAATAATAGAAATTTACAAATAGACAAAGTAAGAAAAATGCTTCTTGAGAATGTAATTTGATTTAAAGATATTTACGTTGTATATTTTGAGGTGATGTTTTAATGATTTTGAAGCTTTAACTTTTTGAATCTCAGCATCTGCTCTCATTAAATTATTATTGTCTGATCTCCCAAAATTTCCCGCAACTGTTAAAATTTGATAAATATAGAAAATGTTTAAATTCAATATTAGCCATCAGTTGTAAAAAAATGAAAATTGAACTCTGACAAGCCTAGCTAAAGTACACGCTTTGTACCTATTCTTTTCCTTGTTTTATAATACATAATGGGTATAACCCAAGAGATTTTGTAGGACATTGTGACTGGCCGCTGTTATTGTAGGACATGTTTTGTAAATCTTATCGAATACTAATTAGTTTAATGCTTTCCTTCATTTAAAATAAGGACATTTGTGTGTGCCCCCAGTTATGAGCAGTAATATCTCCTGCACATATGCCATAACTATATTGCCGTAGGCTGTGTTGTCCTATATATTTAAACCCTTTGTAAAATCAGTATAGTCTTATGTAAGGATAGAGCAAATATACCTGGATGAAGCAAAAAACCTCTAGCTAGAAGTGTGAAATCAGAGCTGCACAGATTACGCAGTTTCAATATCCTTTTCAGTTTTAAAAATGAAAGCCTTCCATTGAAGAAATACGTGACATTGTTTATTGAAATGCCACTACTGAAATAGTTGAACATTAAAATGATAACTTGGAAAAACTGCCAAAGTGAACAGGTACTTAATATTTCACTACCAGTCTGAAAAAACAGGTGTTTTTAGGTAAATGTAAATTGTTATTCTTTAAGTGAAAAACATACCTGTTATGCTACCAACAAATCCTTAATTTAGTATTCTTTCCATGTAGCAGAAGTGAATTACAGTTCAAAGAGATGTCTTCAGGCTTGATCAGTAATAAACAATTTATTACTGTTTTTTACAAGCTGAGATGCTGAAAGTCTACTTAAATAAGATTCTTGTATAAAACTTACCTACTGTTTGAAAATAACAAGATTGATATCACTGAAAGAAAAAACTTGTTTTTAATATTTTTAGTTTTTTCTTTGTGCATTTGACAGTATTTTATATATCCCATTTCACTTTGTATATAGTCAGCAATTTCATCTTTGTTTGTTTTAAATGTGTTTTTTCCACACAACAATAGGGGAATGAACTCCTGTTTTAAAGAACAGGAAATGATGGATAATACCACAAAAAATTGATTGGGAGATTTGGCAACTGATATGGTATCTGAAACTACTCAACTCACTACTTTTTTTAAACTGAGGAAAGTTCAGGTTGAGTAATCCCTTAGATTATGTGACTGAAACAATCTCTGGTCAATTTCACTTTCAGGTTCTCACAGCCCTAGTCCTACCATAGGGTGTTCTGCAAAATGCTACTTTCAGAACATCTGCCCTCATTCGAAATTCTTCCACAGCACTTCTGCTGGGTTTAAATCTTGCGTGGGGGGATGTATTTTAGCCACACACTTCTACTTTTGGCTGGCATCCTGCTCGATGATATCTGGTGACAGTTGCAGTGAGAAAACCTAAAATAAAGTGCTTCTTATTTTGCGTTTTCTACTTTAACATCAGAGAAGGGCAATAACAATTTGTTCAAGAAAGTTCTTGTCCACAAACATGAAGATGATGGAATTTGATTCAGGCCAAATACTTGTTTCTGTGAATGAAGATGAATAACCTGACTTACAACATGGAATGTGTCACTAGAACACCCATCAAGGATATGTACATTGTACAAAGAATTAATTTGTGACTTTGATCCTGGTGATGTCCATAGAGTGTGCATATTGTGCTTGATTTACCAGTATGTCTCTTTAGACGCATGTGATCTGGTACGCTTTAAATACACTCTTGTCTGGAAAATGTTTGACTTTTATATTTAGTTTAGTTTTCGGTTAAATATTCTGACAGTACACCACATCAGCACTATGGCAGAATGTGTGTATCTGAACAGTTGGAATAGAATTGAGTTGTGCTCTGCTGGAGGAGAATGTTAAGGAAAATTTAATCCTTTTTTTTTTCTTCATAAGTCAGGCAAGCTTTAAAACTGTTATAAAACCTTACAGCTGCACTCTATTAAAGTAGTCATAGCAGGAGGCATTGTGATCCAGTGGATAGGGCACTTGACAGGGAATCGAGAGCTCATTCCTGGCTTTGCCACTGGCTTGTCGTATAACCTTGGAAATGTCACTTTATCGTTCTGTACTTCAGTTTCCCCATCTGTAAAACCGAGGTAATACTTTACAAAAGAATGCAAGATTACATTTGACAAACTGGGGAAAAGCCAGAGGAGTGCTACAGAAACAATTAAAGTTTTAGAAAACATGACCTATGAGATAACATTGGGGAAAAAAATGGGGATGTTACATCTGGAGAAGAGAAGATTGGGGCTGGGGGACATAAGTCTTCAAGAATGTAGAAGGTTGTTGCAAAGAGGAGGGGGATAAATTGTTCTCCTTACACACTGAGGACAGGGCAAGAAATGATGATGAGCTTAAATTGCAGCAAGGGAGATTTAGATTAGACGTTAGGAAAAGCTTCCTAACTGTAAGGGTAGTCAAGCACTAGAACAAATTATGTAGGGAGGTTGTGGAATCTCCGGCAGTTGGAGACTTTTAAGAACAGATTAGTCAAACATATCAGGAATGGTCTAGATCGGGGTGGGCAGACTATGGCCTGGGGACCACATCTGGCCCTTCAGACGTTTTAATCCGGCCCTTGAGCTCCTGCCAGGGAGCAGGATCCAGGGCTTGCCCCGCTCCATGCGTGCTGTGGCTCCGTGTGCCTCCCGGAAGCAGCAACATGTCCGCCCTCCGTCTCCTACGCATGGGGCAGACAGAGGGCTCTGCATGTTGCTCCCACCCCAAGCGCCAGCCCCGCAGCTCCCATTGGCTGGCAACCGCAGTCAATGGGAGCTGCAGGGGTGGCGCTTGTGGACGGAACAGCGTGCCGAGCCGCTTGGCCACGCCTCCACAAAGGAGACAGAGGGGAGATGTACCGCTGCTTCTGGGAGCTCCTTGTGGTAAGCGCTGCTCGGAGCCTGTACCCCGACCCCCTCCATCATCCCTTCCCTAGCCCTGATTTCCTTCCGAACCTCTCAGTCCCACTGTCGTGGACCCCAGAGCCTGCACCCCCAGCCAGAGCCCTCACTCCACTACCTGCACTCCAACCCTCCCGCACCCTGAATTCCTCATTTCTGGTCCCACCCCAGGGCCCGCACCCCAATCCCAATTTTGTGAGCATTCGTGGCTCGCTATACAATTTCCATGCCCAAATGTGGCCCTCGGGCCAAAAAAGTTTGCCCACCCGGTCTAGATAATACTTGGTCCTGCCTCAGTGCAGCAGCCTGGACTAGATAACCTATCGAGGTCCCTTCCAGTCCTGTGTTTCTATGAATCAGTGTTGAGACCTGTGTATAAAAAACACTAGATAAGACCTTTGTTATGCTTATACAAGAAATAAAATGGTACGTCTGAGTTACTAAAGTAAAGATTATGCAGGCTAGCTTCTGAAAAACATGTTGGGCCTTCTTAGGCCTAGCCTACAGTAGAAAATTCGGTTGATTTAACTGTGTCCATTGGGGTGAAAAATCCACACCCTGGAGCGGCATTGTTAAGCCAACCTATGTGCCTGTGTAGACAGCTAGGTTGATGGAAAAATTCTTCTTTTGACCTACCTACCACCTGGGGTGGTGGACTACTTTTATTGACAGGAGAACCCTTCCTGTTGCCTTAGGTGATGTTACACTGAAGTGCTACGCTTAAGTGTAGATATACCCTACATATATCAAAGCAGTAAACACGGAAGTGCAGTTATTAATACTTTTGCAATAAGAGGAAGTCT